TCATCATGCGCTCCCGCCACGGAACTAATAGCCCGAGGAAACAGGACGTGAAAAAAGGGGGCAAAGGGGGGATATGAGAGATATGGGGGAATATGAGAAGATGGGAAGATAGTGAGGGTTGCCAGAGGTAGAATTTCTCGGCACCGTCATTGCCGCAATTAACTCATTATGCAGAAGCTCTGTTCAAACCGCCGTGAGTTAGCCACATGGAATCCAACAGTGGCGTAACCAGATGGAAGAGCGGGCGATGGGCGCAAATGGAGCCATCTCTCCAAGCGTGGCTGTTCAACAGACCCAAGCCAATCCAGTTGGGAAGTAGAGAGGAGAGAAGAAGGGACCAGGCGCCAGGGCAATGCAAAGAAAACTCCAAGGCGGCGAAGGACCTATGAGAGAGCCCCACAAGAAAGAAACAGGAATGAGGAAAATGGGATAGAAGTGACCAGATCTAGTCAACTACTTGGCAATAGAGCTCGATCTCACCCACCATACCCTTGGCGAGCATGTCACGATGCTGCTCCCGCCATTCCATGAAAGCAAGTTGGACGGCCTCGTCACTGTCAATCGTAACAAAATCGCCGTCCTCATCACGGTACCGCAGCCGGACCGTCTTGTTGCCAATCGAACGGTTCGTGAAACGGGCCAGCTTAGCATCAACACGATCCGTCAGTGACCGGAAGAGGATATTGGTCGCAATCACCAGCGTGACGTAGTTATCGTCGAAGTTCACCTTGGCCTTAAGCTGGGTTGGCATGAAAGGATCTCCATCGGGCTCTTGAGACAAGGGTGATGTAGCGTGGTCGGAGATCTGCCCCGACCCACGCGTTTCGTTGTACTCGGGTTCGGTGAATTGCGTGGTGTGAACGTGGGGTTGAGATCGCATCGGAAGCTGGCTGGTAGGAGAGTTGTTCTGGCTACGGTTGACAGGTGCCTTCATATTGGCCATGTGCGCGGGAATGGGAGGCACTGGCACATTGTCAACCGTCTGCATTGTATGGACTCCCATATACCGACGGGATTCCGGAGGTAAGTTATTGTGATGGTGAATGTCTGGGCTACTGGCAGAACGCATGCGTTGAGCAGTTCCATTGGGGGCCTGTCCCTGTGGACCAGAAAGTGGAGGCAGCGACGGGCGTTGAGCACCCCGCCCATTGGGTTGGGGCTGAGGAGGGAAGTATCCGGTCGGGGTCGTACCATCTCTTGAAGTACCACGGGATAAGGCCGGTGCGGTGTAGCGGTTTGACTCTTCATTCCAGACCGTTGATGGAGTAGTCGAGTTCGTATTCTGGCGTCCAAACGAAAACCCTGACTGGGAACTGGAGCGTGTAGACGGGGTTTCCGTAGGGGAAAAATATGAATTCGCGTTCCGATCGCTTGGCGACATGCTACCAGAAGCAGGGAATTGGGTATGCACAGAAAGTGTCGGATCATTAGCTCCATAACGTGGTCGGCCATTGGCATGGGGAACGGAGTTTGAACTGCCGCCGGTCGCGGAACGAGTGCGCAGGCTTGTGCTCGAAGCATTTCGGCTCATGGTGAACTCTGAGTAGTATGGGTCTTTAGTATTGTCGTCCGCATCATACTCCTGCTGGTAAGGGTTTGGCATATGGGCCATGCCCTCCATGTAGGTGAATTCGCTATCAGATGTACCAGTGTGCCGAAGAGTACGTCGCTCTGATTGAATTGCTCTTTGGGTATCGATGTCCTTGTACCAGTTGCGCATCGTGTCTTCGTTTGAATAACGAATGATAAAGTTATCAACAACACCGGGGTCGCCCTTCCAGAAAATTTGAATGCGGTAAAGACCTTTTTGTTGTTGGTTAGGACGATGGTTTGGGATTGTGGATGCGAGCTGCCGAATGCTTACCTGGCTTCTGGAGACAGACAATATCTGTGACATTTGCCATGTAGATACGACCCTTCAACTGAAGACGAGGTTTGCCCTTTGCGGTAAGGCTGGGCTTATCTTTACCCATCATAAGCTTGGTCTTCTGTTTGTTGGGGTTGATATCCTTGCAGCACAGAAGAATACGCTCAAAAAGGAAAATATGATACTGGAACAGATGTTAGCGATGAATGAATCAGAGCCACCTCGTGGGAACCAATGTAACCACAAACCTCGCGCTCGCTATCCTTGCCACTATCGCCTTTGACCACGGCGAAAGTGCCGAACCGAAGCAGATCCCCAAAGGTATCCATCTTCAACGATTTCCAGTCGTCAACTCGTTCTGAAAGATCCACAACCGCCGCGGCCAAATGTTCTTTGTGGATTGCTTCATTCGCCTGATCCAAGACATCTTGGATGGTATCGATTGCTTGCGTGATATCGGCTTGGAGCTGAGGGTCTTCTGTTTGTTTCCGAAGTTCCTGCGGGAAAGGGCCAGTCAGCGCAAGAAAGTGGATTAGAGGTACAAGAAAATTACTTACCGTCAGCATGAGCGGCCATCTCGTCAACCGCTGAAAGGGCTTAACAAAGAAACCATTCAGGGTCTTTGGCTGCGCAACCATTTGCTGGAGGTCTATATGGCGCGGGGCTGACCTGATTTTATCCCACTCCTTCAAACAAACCTGATCGCAGCGTATCTGGTTTGCAATAAATGGCTCATACTGTCGCAAGTTCTCCTCATGCGAAGAGAAGAGGTTTCCCCAATTTTGCATGTTCTCGGGTAAAGCATAATGTTGTTCCATTCGGATGAGAAATCTTTGGGCGAAATCCAATAGGTTGTTGAGGTTGAGGAAAATTTGATGGCTAGAGTCACCAGTGAGCGCCCCTGTCTCCTCCAGTTCTTTCTTGAGCGCTTGGAGGTTCTGCAAGTGATGAACATAATCGCGCTCCGTTTCTAGCAGCTCTTTGAGAATGTGTTCACGCTTAGTGAGTTTCACGGCATTTTGCGCGTCAACCGGCGCATCGGTAACATCCGAGCGATTTAGGTGGCCCTGCATCTCGAGGATGTCGATCACTCGATTTACCATCTTGATTACTTTGATGAAACCAGTCGTGCTTTCGCCATAGAGATCGGTAATTAAGAAACAATCCTGCTGGGGAAACGCCAGATCCTGCAAGCATGCTTGGAGGAACTTGAAGGTTGCAGCCTTGGGACGTTTAGCCTCTGTGACTTTCGCCGGGTCAACTATTAACTCCTCGTCTGGCCCAGAGGCATTGTAGATGCTCAGCAGTGGGTATCCATTGCGTAGACATTGCCACAGCGAAGATACGGGGTCTGTGTTACCCTTCTCTCGATCCTCCGCGTCCATCTCTTGCAGATACGGTTCAAAGTTGGGGACCTCCGATAGTCGCCTCTTGAGATTGACACAACTTTGATAAATCGACTCTCCACCACGCCGATTGATGATATTATCCTCGGCGATTGGAGCACCGCTCATGGTTGCGGAGTCAATCATCGTGGATGACTTTGAGCGGGCTCAACAGTCAGACCAGCCAGCATCTACTCAGATCCGCGCAGCAGACCCGAGATGTATATGATCGGAAGGCGACAAGCGTCGGGCAGTCGGGATGCCGATCATGGATTGCCTGCGGCGCGAGAAGTTGTGGAAGTGAGGGCGAGTGGTTGCAGGCTGATATGAATGCAGCGGATTGGAAATACGGTCAAGACGATGATTTGGTAATGCGATCTTCGATGGGTGTATGTGCTTGTGAGGAAACGATTCCTCAAAGGGTACGGAAATGAGGGTGGTGTATATATATGAACAGTCAGAAAGTCGGAATGCGCACCGCCACTTTTCCTCCGATGGTAGTTGGACCACTCGACGGCGGTGAAGAAAGGTTTCTCGAGATATCTGCGATATTTCCAATCGATGGAGCCCGAGTCACTCGAGTTTCGGGTACGACACTGCGGCCTGGCAGGCGTTACCGATTTACGGACGAAAGAGGCGGTTTCAAACCCCCCCCCTTAGGTGTCGGAAGGTAACCAGGCTCGGTCACTGGGACGGAGCGGCAAGGAGAGGGAGGAAGAGTCAACTTCCAAGAAGAAGAAAAAAGAGTCCCACAAGGGTCCAAGATCAACGGGGCGAAAGGCACAAGGAAAAGAGATGAGCGAGAGCGTAGGGGGTGAACGACCTCGCGGGTTGTGGTCGATGCGTGGAGGGGTGCTTAGTCATGAAAATGGAGAAGCGCGGCTGGTGGATGGGATAGACGATTCTACTAGTACTTTACATGAAACGAGTTTCAGGAGGCTGATGGAAGCAGAGATTGCAGGGAATGTACGGAGTACGGAGTACACTGTCAGTTTATAGCTTATAGTTTATAGATTGTGGTATAAAGTAGATCTCTCTATTCCACTCAGATGAAGATCAGGCACTCATTGTATAGCCTGAGTAAGCCAGCATTCTTCAAACAAAGAGCGATGCGGGGAACTTGAAACTGTCCAGGTGCTACTAGTATAAATTCACCCTCCATTCCATTCCATGATTCCATAGCACTTTCCAGTCCACACAGTTTACTAGCACACGCTTTACTCTCCCTTGTGGCTGCATACTTGAGATCCATCCACGTGACTGTACTAGTATCCAGCAGATTCCAGCTCGACCCTACATAACATTGTGCTCAGGCTGTGTTGTTGGTATTTTGTACTCCTATCTCATACCTAGTAGGTATTTCTTATTTCTCGCGTCAAATTCGCTCGATCGATCCCATCCACCTTATACTTTGGACCTCTCGATCCGATCTATCATCTCCATTCCCGGGGCTTCCCATTCTGTAGTAGGTGGATCCCGCCGCCAACGTGACGTGATATGCAGCCCCAGGCCTAGAAGTCCCCCTCCCAAATCATACCTATCTATCCGCTTGACCACCATATTGCGAGGGTTGATCCCTCCCGTGAATCCTCTGCCACTAGAGACTGCGAGAGAGCGATCGCGCGCGCAATACCCTTGCGATTCCCCTGCGATCTCTACGACCGATAACGTTCCCCGATCCTCGCCCCAAATCGTCGCGTCGACTCATCGCCCTTCGCCTCGAGACATCAGGGTCAACATCAGCACCCATGGATGCAGATCCTGTCCCTGGATCCCCCACACGCCCAGAGCTGCGGCTGCAGGCGACAACTTTTCCCGGGTACTCTGCGCCCTCTCTCTCTCCCTCCTTCAAGTTGGATGAAGGTTATTCGGATGATACCCGGAGCCAGTCTGACAAAGAGCTCATGCCGGAAAATGTCATGATGCTACCAGAATGGGTGCTTTCTCAGAGCGAAACGGATAGAGCTGGTAAGATATGATATTTCTGTTCTTTAAACTTTGGTGGTGACCCTGGAGACCCTCTCCGATGCGCGCGCACCCTCCTCTTGACTTCTCCGCCCGCTGACCCTCACCCCCTCAACAATAGAACTTGCATATAGCCTCCTTCGATCGTTATCAACCTCCACACTCGCCGCAGTAGTCGATCGTCTCAATCCCCTGCTCCACATGGACCCCGTTGTCAAGCTACCCCCGGAGCTTACCTTCGAGATCTTTTCATATCTTGACCCGCGAACCCTTCTGACTGCTTCGCTTGCGTCTTGCTCATGGCGAGCTCGTATTCTGGACTCCGGCTTATGGAGGGTGCTTTACATCAACGAGGGCTGGCGGGTAGATATGCGCGCCATTCGCAATTTCGAACAGGAACATGCCGAGGCAATGTCGCCGATCACGCGTCGGGCCCGACCTCAACATTCAGAACCAGACTTGGGAGAGCCAAAGCTTAAGAAGCGTGTGCCTCCGACTTGGCTGGCTTCTCGCAGCAATGAAGGGGAGGGTCCGTCTGACGCCAAGGGACATGGGTCCATCGAACCCGATGACGAAGGCGATCACCACATGGCCGATGCGAACGACCGGAGGAGCTCTTTGGCAGCAGCCCCCAGCTCTTTGCCTCGGCTTCCATCTTTTCTCCAGCCGCCACTCAGGTCCTCTCTTCTCATCCGATCCCCGAACGGAACAGTTAAGGTGAATTGGGCTCACCTCTATAAACAACGGCGACGCCTCGAAGCAAACTGGCACCAGGGTCGTTTCACGAACTTTCAACTTCCACACCCCTCCCACCCTGAAGAGGCGCACCTGGAATGTGTCTATGCAATTCAGTTTGAGGGGAAATGGCTAGTCAGTGGAAGCCGGGATAGAACAGTGCGAGTCTGGGACCTGGAAACTAAACGGCTATGGCACCGCCCATTAGTCGGCCATGTAAAGTCAGTGCTGTGCCTTCAATTCGACCCGAGCCCGGAGCAGGATATTATCATCTCTGGAAGCAGTGACAGAAGCGTGATCCTGTGGAAATTCTCCACGGGAAAGAAGATTCATCAAATTACGAATGCTCATGCAGACTCCGTACTCAACCTCAAATTCGACCATCGCTACTTGGTGACGTGCTCTAAGGACCGCACGGTAAAAATATGGAGTCGCCGGGAGCTCTCAGCAATGGATGAGGATTATCCTCGTATCTGCAAAGGCGGCGGAGCTACATACCCCTCCTATATTGTCGATCTCAATGATATGGCACCCAACATACTCGAGGCCAGCATCGCTAATGGTCATCTCAAATCCTTGAAACCATACACCCATCTGATGACTGTGGAAGGTCATGGTGCTGCAGTGAACGCTATGCAACTTCACGGTAACGAGGTTGTCACCGCTTCGGGAGACCGTATGATCAAAGTTTGGAATATTCGCAACGGCGCTTGTCTAAAGACTCTGATGGGTCATGAAAAGGGGATTGCCTGTGTCCAATTTGACAGTCGTCGCATCATCAGTGGTAGTAACGATAACACTGTAAGGATATACGACCATGTCTCCGGTGCTGAGGTGGCTTGTCTACGCGGCCATAACAACCTTGTTCGCACTGTCCAGGCAGGCTTTGGTGACCCTCCTGGTGCCGATGAGGCACTACGACTCGAGGCCCAGGAAGTTGAAAACGAATTTTGGAAAGCGCAGCAGGCTGGCGTTCCCGTTGACCTTGGCCCAAGGGCTTTACGGCGTGCTGGTCACTATTCAAACACTGCCGGTTCTCGGGATCCTCGCAATATTTCAGCACTCGGTGCTAAAATTCCTCCCGGTGGTGGAGGTAGCTCTTGGGCTCGCATTGTGTCTGGGTCCTACGACGAATCCATCTTAATTTGGCACAAAGATCGGGATGGAGCATGGTCCATTGGGCATCGTCTCCGGCAAGCGGACGCTGCGGCTAACGCTGCTCGAGCCACTCTCAGCGAGGCAGCACGAGCTGCTGTTTCTGCACAGGCACAACAGCTACAAGCTGCGCAAACCCTTCTTGCTCTGCCAACTGGAAACGGAGCGATTGCCGCTCCAGCGCAGAGCGCAGAGGCAACACAGGACCAAGAGGCGAGCGATGACACACAATCTCCTAATAACACAAACCCGACCCCAACTGCACCGCAAGAATCAACTGCGGCCCAAGCTGGTCCAACGACTACCCCTAATCCAGCACCGGCAGCCCATGCCGCTCCACAACTACACCAGCAATTGGCTGGCGCCAACCCTCATCAAGCTCGTCGACAAATGGCACAACCTCCATCATCCCGGGTTTTCAAAGTGCAGTTTGACTCCCGCAAGATTGTCTGCGCCAGCGTAGACCCCCGAATCATTGGATGGGATTTTGCTTGTGGGGACGAGGAGATTCTGGAAGCATGCCCTTTTTTCCAGGGGCTCTCATAGCCGTGCTTTCGTCATAACCCCGCGCTCGCCCTTCATTCTGCCAATCTATACTGCAAAGTTCAGTGAATATCGGCTACCTTGCCAACATCACATAATGTCCAATACTTTTCACGAAAAGGAGCAACCGGCACTAATTTTGCTGGATCTGCATTCGTGACACTTAATTACCTTAACCATTCAACCGCGTCATGATGTCCCCGCTCTCTCCAGTCCCACCCACCTTTCTTTCTTTCTTTCTTGGCCTAGTCATTGGTTATGCCTGTGTCTGTCTTTTGCCTTTCTTTGCATCGCAGAGCCACCCCTCTTCTTATGTACCTTTTGGACACAAACCCACCGGCGCTTATTTTGTACCTCTATTCCTCACTTCCCGGGGCTTTGCATAGCGAATCGAATGAAGAGTGTTTCTATGCTACATTGAACCTTATTTTAAAACTTATACTTAGGTGAATCATTATGAGTACTGAGGCAACCTTCTCTGAGAGTGATATCGTTCCTGTCATCGCAATGCATCTCAAAATTTCAACAGAACGTCGAGACTCGGTTCATGGGCGCTAAGTCTAGAGAGCCACCGATCGCTTAAGGGTACTAGCGCCGCAAGGCCATTTATATTTGCCAAACAGCATTCAAAGAGTGAAGCAATCTATTTAACATGATGAATCACAATTTTCTTTTCATCAAAATGCAAGGTTCCATGAGATAAAAGATATTGGCTACCTAGGTATCTCTATTGCAGTGTAGAGTTGTCCAGAACTATGGAACTACGGGCCACAGTAACCCGAACCAGATCCACGAAGAAACCGACAGTGATTGCCGCAGCATGTTGAGTCACTTAGGCAAGAGCTCTTATTAGGTTTGCATCTTCCTGCATCTTGGGCCGTCTGACAGCTCCCTTTGTCACAGACGAGACCGCTGTATTCTCCTTTGCATCCGTTGTCATCAGTGCACCTTGACCCTATTTCCCCAGGGTAAACTAGGGCGCAAATCTTCTTGCCTCGACTATACCCAGGGGTCGTGCAAATGAAATCAGATCGATATTCCTTGCAAACTGCATCATCGTCGCATGAATTAGGTGGCCCACGAAGCGCAGCGCATTTTCCGTCCACACAACGCTCAGCGATGCATTCTTCATTTCGATAACATTGCTTGCCAGCAATTTGAGGAGAAGAACATCTTTTCGTATCCATACTGCAGAAAAAGCCTTCGTAGCATGGGTAGTCCGGCGAACACTCTTGATCATGTCCTCGGAAGCCTGGGAGGCAGGTAGTGCCATTGCACCTATGTGTTTGACACTGATAGTTTGCCGTGCACTCTGCACCCTCTTGAACCTGGCTAGCACATTTATCGGTTTTATCGCAAAACTCTTTTGCCCCACATGCAGATTCGGACTCGGATTTTTTGAAGTCGCAATAGCTCCCGATTTTGGAGGTATTGTCCGGTTGGTCATCATCAGCAGAATCATCGCCGAGATGGGGCCAGTCTTGTGCCACGGCCAGAAAGGCGAAGTGAATAAGAATGGTTGCGAAATATAAAAAGCGCATGGTGGCGTCTTTGAATAAATAGTAATAGTGTTGAGGTTTAATAGAGAGCCCTGGAAATTGAACAGCGAAACGTGCCCAGGTGGCTGGTATTAAGAGGATATACACCCGGGGGGTAATTACATGGCTTTATATGCTTCCATACCTAGGAAAATCTAAATGGTGACGTTCAAGCCCTGGAGATCGCCAGTACTAGTACTATTATGATCTTATAGATATTCGAAGATCTACCTACTAGTGGGTATGCAGAGTAACACAGTCCCTTTCGGTACTTCGATACTTCACTAGCCCTAGAGAATCAGCGGCCTACTAGTGCCAATCTACTCCATAAAGTACTCAGTATACTAGAGGCTTGTGAAGTATTGCATGTCAATTTTCTCTCTGGTCCGCCGGAGGAAATCTGATCGTACCAAACATATTCATCTCATCTTCTCAGGAGGATCTGATAAGGCCCATGGCTTGATAGCCCATTGTGACACCAGGTTTTGCTTATACAGCAGTACATAGTATCAATTTTTAGTACCTAGGTATGTTACACAGAATTTATGACTATTCCGAATACCCATTCATTTGTTCTCCCAGATCCTTTCTTATCCCAGATCCTTTCTTAGGGAGCATTTGAATTAGTGGGAAAAAGCAAAAGCAAAACTATTAATTTCTCAAAAGTTAGTCTTTGGCCTACCAGAACAAGAACTATTAAGTTTGATGGTTGTCTGATTTTCCCCAGCTTTCTCAGCAGTTTCAATAGAAATACAATCAGATCATAAGTCGCCAAGTTTGTACTATATCTAGTACCTAGGTAGTACTAGTAGTAGATAGTATTTATCGAAACTAGTACTAGTAAAGGGTCTATGTATTTTCTTCAACCCTGGAAGCGTATGGATGTGAACATATTGTTATTTACCACAGAACATCTTTTCCATCGTACTGCTCGTAGCCCGGGAGGCATATGGTCTTAAATCGTCCATTGGAGCCCTGGCTAGCACTGGAGATGATACCAGTGACTGCATTTGCACCTTCCTCTGCAGAAAGATCACCATCGCTGCCTCCCATCTCCGTCCGCAGCCACTGAGAAATAATCAGTATATATTTCCGTTCCCAGTACGAAAGAGTAGTACTCACTCCCGGGTTCACACAAAGAAAGATAAATCCATCCGCTTCGTAGAAAAGAGCATATTGAACAGTCAATGAATTGAGCGCGGCCTTGCTTATTTTATAAGCAGGACAGGGAGCGTAAAGAAAGGACCGAGCAGATGTTGTGGAGCCCCATGGACTTGAGCTTAAATAGAAAGTGATTGTGAGTAAACTTTCCAAAGCATCTAGCAAATCAGGACATCTCACATATTGATAACCTTTTTCGTGTTTCCAGCTTGAAGAAGTGGCAGGTATGATTTAATTACATTATGCGTACCGGTGACATTGATACTCAATTGATACGCCAGATCAGACCTTAATGCCATGAGTAAATATCTAGGTCGTAATTCAAGTCAGACTTACATTTCTGAGATGCCACCATTTGTCCAGGAATGGACACCAGCGTTGTTGATGAGGATATCCAAAGCCTTGTCAGGAAGGAGAGACTTTACTGTTTCGACTGATTGCAGTATACTTTCCTCGCTGGAGATGTCCATTTCCACGAAGAAAACTTTGCTCTTACAATCACAGACCAGTTCCTCTAGATCTGGACTAGATTTCCGAGAGGTGGCAATCACGAGACCATTGTCTGGTAACTGGAGAGAATACCTTTTCACCAATTCTAGGCCGAGCCCCCGGGCTGCTCCTGTGACAAGTACGTTCAACATGGCTCTTGATACCTTTTCGGGTCGGGAATCAATCTTTCTGAAATGAATACCAAAGACATCATTCGGGGTCTCAGGTACGTATTTATACAATTTGCCCAATCCGAAGTCCCCGTTTTAAATAATCAGGAAAGGCCCACGTCGCCATGAGAAAACTTGGACATACTACTAGCCCATCCAGAGCCAGTGAAAGATTCATGACAAGAGTACCAAGGCTGGTCACTTGAATATATTGCACAGCTCAACTTTACTAGTAGTATTAATTTTACTCTTACGGAAAACAGCATGAACGACAAGGCGGATGGCGCTTGATCCCCCGGATCGGCTGCTTAGCTGGATAACAATAAAAAGATTGATCGGTGACCTTTCGTTTGATAATTTGTAAGCTCTTGCAAATCACTTTAAAATCTTTTCTAGTCGCGCGTTGAACGAACGGTCTCGATTGATTTTGCTACTTCCTCATTCATTCGGAAACCGATCGAAAAGGGGAAAGCGTCGGAACTTCGAAGGAATGACTCAGCGATTTCGGAAAGCTCGGTCCAGAACATGCAGGAGCAAGCTAATTTAGATGGATTTCGAGCTCGAAGGACTCCTCAAGAGATCGTTTCGGAAAGCGAGGGCTTTGACAATACATTCCCATGAGTGACGACGCTCTGCGTGCCGTAAGTGTCGACCTTGTTCTAGTTAGACGCTCACTACTGGAGCCCGACCTCCACACTAACCGCTATCAACCTCAGTGTGACCTTTGTCACTCAAGAAAGGTATGGATTTGATATTCATCTGGGCATATGGTTTACTGTTTAACCGTTTTTGGAATAGGTTCGCTGCGACCGGCAACTCAATTGTGCAAACTGTGTCGATGCCGGTCTAGCGTGTCAGCGAACTCGTCCACGGCGCCCAACACGCCCTCCAGCTACAACGTACATGCCAGCGCTAGTCTCCTCCCAGCATAAGTTGTAACTAATTTTCTTCTAGTATCTCTACTATTGGCGAAAGACTTCTGAGGCTGGAAAGCGCAATCTCTCATCCTCACGAGTACACTCTTTCATCTACACTCTTTTAATGTCCTTATCTAACATCGTTTCCTAGGACGACTGAAAGCACAAGTCCAGCTCATAGCGTCAATCAAGGTGAAGAAGATAGAGGACTCAAGAGACGAAGGTTAGACACTGTCTCTCACCTACAAAATGCATCCAAATCTCCCCACAGTAGCTGCACTGCTGCTGTCACCCCGGATGAATCGACACATCATGCGGAGCAAGCCAAAGCTGTCTTTCAAGGAGAGCTTGAAGGGAACGAGAGTATGAATATTGAACGCCAATCCATTCTCAGATCTGCTCTAGACTTTGTGAGTACCATGACACAGGGAAGGGCTTCAAACCTAGAAGATGGCCTTCAGTCGGAAATGCGGGACGACAGCCCAGTTATCACAGAGTTCACCGCACCGCCTTCTGAAGTATTCTACATGCTTCTCAAAGGTAAATGAAGAACGAGTCTATTTTCAGAGCATATACTAAAAGATAAACAGAGCCAGCAACTGTGGCTGGAGCACTAAACCTACAATGGCCAGATCATATCTCTCAGGAGTGTCTCGAGAGGATGATTGCCGTTTTGGTTGATGCTGAATCACAGGGCCAAATCTTCTACCAGTATTGCGTCTGCATCTATGTCAAGGCTATCTTCCATCTTGTTCAGATGCCAAGAATTTACAAAAACTCCACCATCAACCAACAATTTCTCAAGTCAAAAAGATTGTATGAATCGTACGCTCTTCATGCCTTGAAGCATGTCAACTTTTTGGGTAACCCCACTCTTCCTTTCATCCAATCACTAATATCTGCGGTATGTCCCGAGGTCTCCAATATAGTATTCAAAGAGCCGAAGAGCCATTTCCAATCACTGATTCTGTTCAGGCATTTTTGATGCAATACACTGGCAACATGAGCCAAGCCTGGATCATGAATTCCTATGCAGCCCGCCAAATTGTCGCACTGAAATATCATGAAATTGGAAGCCCTGTTCCGAGATCCGATCCAAATGAGGATATTCAAAGCTCTTTGTACTGGTGTTATTATCTTGACCGCACTCTCAGCGCTCTCCTCATTCGGCCTTTATCATTACCCGAGCCGGCTATATCTCCCGTGGATCTCATCGTCCCAGACAAATCACTGCCCCACCTACCACTGATTCGCATTCTTCTGGAGCTGGCGCAGGTACAGGGTGACCTCTTGGGCTGTGGAAAAGCGGACAATACTCGTCAAATACTTGCGAATCACTCAAAGCTTCAGGAGAGGATGAATGTTATAAAATCCAATTTACAGGCTGTAAGTATTGCCTACAAATACATTAGAAATGACTAGCTAATATAAGATTCTGTCATCTTTAGACTCGAGAATCCGTCAATGACTTTCTATCCTGTGATTGGATCGCAGGAGATTTCTGCTACTATGCGATTCTAGTCGACATTCTTCGATCTCGATTGAAGTACTCATTTTCACCCCTCACCCACAAGGAGTGCGTGGCATGTGCTCGCAAATCACTGAAAGCACTGCGATACCTGCAAAAGAACCCCAGCAAGAATCCAGGCTTTACGGATCCATATCCGACGTTTTTGACATGGTAAGATGCCCTCTCATCTTCCAGGCATTCTGGAAAAGGTCAAAAAATTAACAAGCCCAGGACTATCTTTCTATACCCACTGAGTCCATTCTTCGTTCTTTTTTGCAATATTATCGGAGAACTTGACTTCGACGATTACACCTTAATCCAAGACATCACCCAAAGCCTGGCACCATTTGCCGCAAGCCCATATATCTCAAAGTTACTAAAACTCCTCGACTCACTTCAAAACTTGTGCATTCCCTTGATCGAGGCGAAGCAGCGTTTGGGACCGAAAACTCGAGTCGCTCCCTGGTATCCATCCGTGACTGGGGCGCTGCCAGATACTTCAACGACCATTGAGCCCAATTTCCCGGTCAATGGTGGCTCTTCTTACGCAGATCCAGTGGTACCCACATTGCCTCAACAAGTTCAAGCTCATGGTGCCCAAACGTATCCGCCGACCGATGAGCTTATGTGGCACCTGTGGAATAGCCAGTTGACAATGGAGTGCTTTGAGTCGGATTTCATTGGTCTTGATCCATCAAGCGGAAACGGGAACATTTGAAATGCAATTTTGTTGGAATCTGTTGGAAAGCTCTCCATTCTTTTTCTTATGATTAATGATATAATACTTGGTGATAAAATTAGATCCGTGAAATTTTCTTTTCCTCACTTGCTCGGTTTTTAATGTCAACTTCAACAATTCAATGTTTCAAGGGTCAAGTTCAATGGAAGGACTTTAAGTTGAAGTCATGTCCAAGGCCATTCATAAATGGCTAAATATAAGTAGTGGTATCTAGTAGAGGTCTAGACAGCAGAGGAAAGAACCTTGGAAACATTTATCCAACATCCATGGTTCATTGATTGAATATTTCAGATCAAATCTCTCTAACTAGTATATTCAAGTTCAAGTTCAATGACATACTAGTCAATTTCAACTCCACATAGCCAAAACTAAACTTGAAAATACCTGAGTTCATATCTGTTCGGAATCCGAGCTCTCCGACACTCGGCCCCCTTGAAATTGCGCAAACGAAAAGGAACCACAGATTCGGTCTCCGAGTTTGGAGAGTGCCTTTAATATTTACAGCAGACCATTTCATTTCACTAAATATCCACCAGCACCCAATTTCATCTTTCGGGCCGGCTAACAACCATGAGACCGATCCTCCGCTACTTTCTCCAATCAGCCAAGATAGCCACTGCCGGAGGCGCAATCAGCCTCGGCTCATTTTTTATTTACACCCAGAATGCGGAATTCACCTCTATCGCCGAATCAGATCCAATCTTCAAGCTTGCGGAAGGAAAGGGTTGGAATCCGCATCGTAACCCGACGACTCATGATTTTTACGTGCGACGTGTCGCGCTGAGTGATATCCGTCCTGGGCTTCGGGATTCACCTGCTGAGTTGGCAAGAGCCTTTTGTGCTGGCGTTTGGAGTGAATGGGGTATTCTTTCCCAGTATTTCAGCTTGGTGGTGGTGGTATAGATTATTTGGCTAACGTTGGAAATTTTATATGGTGCAGGATTCTCAATCCAGCGAGCTCTGTTGAGACAGGGCCGGAATGACTCGAATCGAAACCAGCTTTGGACTATTGAGGACATGCTATCTTCCGAATACAGTGAGGGTACAATGATAGCTGACTCTTTCGAGGTGTTGGAAAAGAAAGATGGCCGGATAGTGCTTCGCGGTGGGGATTCTCCGTCAAACAAAGCGCTTCGGCCGTTCGACGTTGTTTTTGAATTGTCGGCAGTTATTCAGAAGCATGAGAAGGCGGTTGATTTTGGATTCAAGTCTGTTTTTTTCACAGGGGATAAGCTTACTGGGCAACCTCCAATGCCGGGATTTGCGGTTTGGTTGCACTTACAGTATGCCAAGTTGCTGCTTGAGACTGGCATCTTGAATACAATGGTGCGGCGAGAGTAGAGCTGAGGAAAGTGTACGATATGTAATAGTACTAGTATGGATGAAAAATCGAAGCACTCCTCTCTGTATGTTAAAACGAATGCTCTTATTTGTTTGCTTGATGAGTGATCTTCGTTAGGCAGAATACCTTGAAAGAGTGTTGAAATCTAATCTAACAATAATAGCATCTAATGGACAAAGGACAAAGCAGAAGGCTGGACAAATGGGGAAAAGGCCAAGTGTTCAGTGGCAGGGCGTATGTAATATTTACGGGATACGCTGTTTCAAAACAGCGGCGCCCCGACGAACAAAGTTAGACACCGGAGTCCACACGCGGCGTTCGGGCTGCTCTGTAATATCATCATGATTGCTCTCACGACGCTGTGGACTTCCATTTCGAACCGGAGATGACTGACTTGGCGCTGTTACGTAGCTATCTTGGGAGGTAATGGGCTCGAGTGGCGTTCCCTGGTTTGTTCCCTGACCTGTTCCCTGGCCTGTTCCTTGATTGATAACTTCGACAATTCGGCCGCCTAGACAACAGCATAGAGACAGTTGCATATGAATACGAGACAAACGAATGTAAGCTGCATTTGGCTGAGGCACAGGTTCAGGTTCGGTATCTGGTTCTTCCTCTTGGATTATCTGGTTGACAACTGTGTGTCTCTGAAAAGAGTTGGATAGACCGTCCTGCCCTGGGTATTGTCGACGCTGATCTCTGATTCTAGCTGGATTTCGCGGAGGTGCTACCATTGTAATAGAATCTAGAGCAGAATCTGCAGTGAAATCTCGAGAAGGCGATCGAGCAGGCGATCGAGAAGATGATCGAGGAGATGATCGAGTAGGCGATGACCCAGGGTCCGGAGATGTAGAAGCGAACATTTCTGCGATAGAAGGTCTAAACAGTCTGGCGTATCTTTTCGGAAGAGACAAGGTACTCTTGAAACTTGAAGTTTCAGCCGCTGTCCCAACCCTTGTCCTTCTGGATTCGGCCGGGTTATCCTCAGCTGGAGTAATTGATGGAGCTGCCAGTGGAATATTATTCACGTGAAAAGTGTGATCATCTAGTTCCTGCGCGAGATCCGTACCATGGCCACTTTGCCTATAGCCAAATCCACCAAGTACCCTCGTTCCATCAGGGGCTCGGCCAATACCTCGAACTGATTGTATAGTTGTGGCAGCCGTGGTCGTAGCTGGGGGCGAAGGCGAAGGTGTAGGTAGGGGTTGAATAGGAGACTGAATACCAAACAATCTCCTGATCGCCGCCGTATTGAGAGAACGTACGCGCTGATTGTTAGGTGGAAATGGATCACGAATGAATTGAGCAGAAGCAGCAATGGCTTCCGGGGTGCCAAATGAAGGAACTCCTGGGGGAGTGGGCATCCTTATCGGTGGTGGAAAGGGGGGGTTGATGAACTCTCACAGCCGGTACGTTCCCTGGCCACTGAGGGTTTGCTGCACTACCGTCGAAAGCATCGAGTGAGATAGCCCTGCGGCGTGTGGGCGGAGTAGTTGCCATTTCCGCTGACTGAACTTCCCCTTCCGGATGTGAATGCGGTTTGTATAAGCCAACAGATAAGATTTCGTTGCACCACCGAACACCCTGTGCAGTCTGAGGATCCGAGTCGCGAGACGAGCCCGATGGAAGAAATATGGCTACATGTGAAGCCAGTTCTTCTTCAATAGGTTCGGGAACTTGATAATCATCGTTTGGCGTAGGGTACGTGTCAGCAGTGACTATGAGTTCCTCATCGCTGTAAAGGGTTCTTGAGTCGTCATCCGGTGATGTTGAGGTAGAGTTGTAAGGATCGCTAACATGTGGTATAGTGTCCGACCTGGAGTAGAATCTGGCGGTGCTTGGTCCGGGCCCGGCTTCCGGGTCATCATCGCATGCTCCTCGGCTCGGTCTCTGTCGGAATGCCATGATGAAGGAGAGAAAATCAGAGTTGGTCTTGGTCAATGAAAAGGAACGGGATGTTTGAAGGAAGAGAAAGAGGAAGAGGAAGAGGAGGTGGAAGAAGAGATAGAAAAGGAGGGCAAGGTTAATCAACAAGATCGCACCTGCCGCACATGCAATTATTCATACAGCTTGAACTAAAACAAGAAAAGGAAGTCTATATATGTACAGTTACAGTTTCCGAGAAAAAGCGTTGAACAGGTCATCATCATAAGGGGGTACCAATGGGACTTGGGCCAAGCTTGCCCGTCACCTGTGCATGTTCCTTTTTGAGGGCTCGCAACAGTCCTTCGATTCTGCGGCGCTCTTCTTGTTCCGCCTGTAAACATTGTTAGTATTGCTTTGAGAAAGAAAGTTGTGGTGGGAAATTAAACTGACCTTCAGAATCTTCATGTTCTCGTTGCGAGTGTCACGCATCATCTTCTTGAACTCGTTCTTTAACACCATAGTGGATGTGGTCTCGAGGGTTGGATCGCGGCCCATCGATGTCGGACTGTGGAGGTTCATCCAGTTGATACGTTCCTCGCTCAGCTGTTGCTCCAATTGTTCGCTGCGATCCCTCAGACTATCAATCACGCCCTCGAAACGTTCCCGTTCCTTCTCGAACTCAATGCTTGCCTTGGTCATAGCTTCGTAATCATCAATGGTTTCCCGAAGCTCCCTCTCAAGAGTGTCAGCTCGTTGCTGGAGATCACCGCCACCGCGCTGGCTCTTAAGGGCGGCAAGCTCTTCGGTGAGCTCAATGTTGCGGGTGTTGAGGGCATCGATCTCGTTCTGGAATTCAGGATTGGCGGCCGCTTCTGCTGCACGCTGCGCCCGTGTACCATAAGCACCATCCAGCTCAGCCTTGACCATGGTAAGTTCGGTCGTGATTCTCACAATCTCGCCCTCCATTTCGGTCATCTCATTTTGTAGGCGGGTACTGTTTTCTTCGGCTTGGATACGCTGGTCGACGGCTTCCTGGACGCGGGAATCGACTTCTTGTAGACGAGACTCAGCCTCCTGGGCGCGGGAAGCAGCTTCTTGAATACGAGACTCGGCCTCCTGGGCGTGCGAAAGGGCTTCTTGAAGACGAGCCTCGGCCTCCTGGGCGCGAGAAGCAGCCTCCTGTAGATGGAATTCGGCTTCCTGTACGCGAGCGTCAGCTTCCTGTGCGCGAGAGTCGGCTTCTTGCACACGAGAATCAGCCTCCAGTCCACGAGAGTTGACTGTCTGAAGATGGGACTCAGCCTCTTGCAGGCGAGACTCGGCTTCCTGTAGACGAGACGCAGTTTCTTGCAAGCGTAATTCAACTTCCTGTGCACGCGACTCGGCCTCCTGGACACGAGAATCGGACTCCAGTCCACGAGAGGTAACTGCTTCCATGCGGGAGTCAGAGTCGCTACGAATCTGCTGAATATCAACCTCGAGCTGTGTGACCTGGCGCTCAGCACGATCACGAGCCTCCCTCATTTCCTCGATCTGAGCCTCGGACTGGGACGCCTCATGCTCGGCGCGGTCGCGGGTTTCCCTCACTTCCTCTGTCCGAGCATCGGCCTCGCGGTGCAATGACTCCACAACACTCTGCAGACGTGCGACTTCGCCTTCAGCCTGGACCAAGGAGGCCTTGGCTTCGTCCTGGGAAGAACCGTCGTGGCGCATGGCCTCCAACTGTTGCATGACGACATCAAGCTCGTCCTGAGCGGACTTTCCATCTCGTCGTGCGTGGGCCAATTGCTCGGTCAGGTCGCCGATGTGGGCATCGCGCTCGGCGTCGGATTTCGAGTTGAGCTCCCGTTGCTGTTGGATCTGCGTGGTCAGGATACTCTTCTGCTCAAGCACTCCGTCCACTCGGGCTGCCAAACCATCGACACCAGCTTGGAGGTACGATAGTTGTTCCTCTAACCCTTCACCCTCGTAGGCAGAGGGGGGTGGCGGGAGTGTTGGCGAGCGAGTTAATCCAAAGCGGTCAACAATGTTCTGGAGACGCTCGTTGACGTCGGTGATCTGTTGCTTCCAGGCACCCTCGATCTCGGGAGCTGGAGCCGGGGCTGCGCTAGAAACAGAGACGCCCACAGCTGTAGCGGCCAGGCGCGAGTTCAGGGTGTTCAAGCTATTTTCAAGGTAGACCAAGTGCGCCTCGGCGGCAGATGTGGGATCGAGGGATCGGTTCGCGGACTTGGGGGGGAGGATCGACAAATTCATCCGGAGTAGCTTCGATCATCATGTTGCACATGCGCTCACTGAGTTCCTCCAGTCTCCTCTGGGTGGCTTCTGCAGCCTCGGAGGATACCCCAGACGATGGAGCATTGACCTCGATCCTTCCCTTCAGGCCATAATTATCCAAATGCTCGGGTGTGCGGTAAAGACTGCGGTCGTCGAATTCGTGGTCACCGTAAATTTCGTCGGAAGGCGCATCAAGGTTCTTCGGGCCCTTTCTCATGCCCTTATGGGTCATCTGCAGGACACCCGCGGTATGCTCTAGTAGGCGCTGACCGATCTGTTGAGACCTGCGCTCGAGCTTCCAGAGCTCCTGGGCCAGGTCCTCGCACTTGCGCTGGCTCATTGCGAGTTCCGAATCGCTTTTGTCTAGTACATCGGTGGTACCATTCTTCCCAAAGATACTGCGACTTCTGCGGTGTGTTTTGGAGGCACCGTTGGCACCGTATTCGCCGCTGTCCCGGGGGCTGGGGGGGACTGTAGAGCCGTCCGATTGACTGTGCGGCATCGCGCAACTTGGTCTCGAGGGCCAGCTTGCGTTTTGTACCTTCAATTCGACTGGAGAGTAGTGTACGTTCCTTCTTCAAGTCCTCCACCTCTTCAAATGACAGGATCTCGAAGTTGTTGCTGTCCCCTATGGCGGTCTCGGTCAATAGGTACATCGTGATGGGGTCGTTGGTGTTGACGAGGACTGAGCTACGCGGATGAGCGGCATTGAGCTGTTTGATCGGAAGTCTTCTGTTAGCTTTGGAGAGAGGTTTCTGGGCTGCTGTTGGGAGCCCAGTCCTGAGTATGAGGTTCCCCTTACCGGGTTGTACCGCGATCGGTCGTCATGTTGTGGGTGGACGGCATCACGGTAACCGTCGACGAGGGATTTCCCGATGGGAGCATTTGCATCGGAGATGGTGGCGGTGGATAGATAGCGAGGGTCACCATAGGAGGACTGGCTGGAGCGAAGGCTGATATTCATGATGGGCGTTTCAGGCGCAAAGGAATGCAATGCAGCCGGGGCAAATATGTGGACCGGGGGTTTCAAGGGTTCAAAGAGTGAGCTTCACCACATCCTGGAATTTGTGAATAGCAAATAACGAGTGAGTGGTGTAAGACTCAAGTGCACAGAAAGTTGAGCCGGCTCAAAATGGAGAAAGAGGGTGAATCCAAGGGAGATGAGCGAAAAGAAGATGGCGGGGAGGAAAATGGCCGCGATCTGCAGATGCCTCAGCCACACTCTTTACTCGTGTGAGCTGTCATGATAACTAGGTGTGATTATGATCTTTGATATCTACTTACTTCGTGGTATCATTATAGAGTTACTAGTAGAGTATGGGGTATAATTTCAAATAGCTATCACTGGTATTACTATCACTACCCCATACCCATGTAAATCATCCGTGGATCAGGGGCTCGTACCGGGTGATCTCGTTCATGGTTAGTTTCACATTAAAACATCACGGAGCCCATTTCTACTCCGGCTCAATTTTAAGCGAAGGACCATGGCGTTGGCACATGTTTAATCTAGGGTAGTATGTCTAGCTGGATCTGGGGGGTACCTGAAAGTACTTGATGTATGATGTGTTGTCCGGTGGGGTTGCCTGTACCGGCCATGTTCATTCAACACGTCAAAGACGCAAAGGCGCCAAAAACCAAGCCTTTGGGAGAGACCCCCGGAGGAAGCTAACTCGAGATGGTTTCCAAGGTTGCTTAGGTTTCTTCGTGTCCGGATCTTTATCTACTCACTTCTTCCCCTTCTTCCCCCTCTTATTTCCCCTCTCTTTTCCCTTCGATGTCTGATCTCCGCCATGGCCTCGGTCTCTTCAACCCCACCGTATAAAGTCTACAAACGACGCTTTTGGGGTTTGGCACAACTGGTTCTACTCAATATCGTCGTCAGTTGGGATGTATGCATGCCCCCGGATTTTCCCATCCTATATATACCTAGGTATATTCAAGTTGTATCTCTCTTACTGACAGTATACTTGGATCTTGATAGTGGTTAACCTTCTCTTCCATCTCCACCACCGCCGCCGAATACTTTCAAGTCTCCGAGAGCGCCATCAATTGGCTCAGTACTGGCTATCTCTTCGCTTTTTGTGTCGCCAGTCCGTAAGTATACTCAATATCCATGGATATACCTTTCTTAAGGTATACCTAGGTACACCAGGTCTGTATCGCTCACATCCGACAGATTCGTCATTTGGGTCTTGAACAAAGGCGGACCCAAACCAGCCATAGTTATCACTGCCTCACTCTTGCTCGTCGGAAACTGGCTGCGCTATGCAGGCACCAAGGCAAATGGGGGCATGTTTGGCCTGGCCATGTTCGCCCAGATCCTGATTGGCCTAGCCCAGCCCTTCTGTTTATGCGCGCCCACTCGATACAGCGATCTATGGTTTTCGGACAAAGGTCGCACGAGCGCAACTGCTGTCGCAAGTCTTGCCAATCCGTTAGGCGCTGCAATAGGCCAATTGGTCGGTTCTGAATGGGCTACCAAACCATCTGATATCCCCAATATGGTCCTATACATCTCCATCATTGTGAGTTGCAATCGCCTTTCTACAACCCTCAACTGAATCACTTTCGCTAATCAACTTGAATTTTCCAACTAGTCGAGTATTGCTGCCATCCCATCCTTTTTCATCCCTGCTGCACCCCCGACTCCCCCAAGCGCCTCGTCCGCCATCCCGCGCACCCCATTGCGACTCGCAACTCGCCAACTCCTCGGAACCCTAGAATTCTGGCTCATTCTAGTCGCATTTTCCGTCTACGTGGGTTTCTTCAACAGCGTCTCGTCACTATTAAACCAAATCCTCAGTCCATACGGCGCCTCCGAGACAGACGCCGGTATCGCAGGCGCCATTCTAATCGTAGTCGGTCTCGTCACCGCAGCCATCATGTCGCCCATCACAGACAAATACAAGCACTACCTCGGCTCAATCCGAGTTCTCATTCCCATCGTGGTAGCCTCTTACATCGGGCTGATCTTCGCACCGTCCAGTTCGGCCGGGATTGCGCCCTCGTACGTCGTGATGGCGTTGATGGGCGCTTCCTCCTTCGCTTTACTGCCCATTGTGCTGGAGTATCTGGTTGAGATCACATACCCGTTCTCGCCGGAAATTGGGTCCACGATTTGCTGGACCGGGGGCCAGTTATTCGGTGCGTGCTTTATTCTCATCCAGGATGCGCTCAAGGCGGGTGGCAATGCGAGCCCGCCGTTCAATATGCGCAATGCGTTGATCTTTGCTGCGGTTGTTTGTGCGGTTGCTGCGCCGTTTCCGCTTGCCATTGGTCTCTTTGGTCGTGTTGTGACTCGTAGGAGGCTGGAGATTGATCGTGGGGTAGAGTTGTCGGCTGCTGGTGCTGGGTTGCAGGTTAACTCTAATGATGGCCCCGAGGAGGAGTTTGCTCCGGATAAGGCTTCGGCGGCTTTTCGAGAATCTGCGCTGAAAAATGCCTGAATTGAGTAGTAGTTCCAATTTTTTCAAGTGTCCCAAGGGTATTGCCGTCGTCTCTGGAATTGCATATGCGTATGCGTATGCGTATGCGCATGCCCTGGGCTGATACCTCGAGCTTATACCCTTCTTCTGCTCATGACTTTCCAATTGATTAGCCAGCGGTATCAGATGCAGTTCTCGTGTTCTAATCACATGGCTCACTTAGGATATCGAAATGGATTCCAGGTGAAACTGGAACCTTGTATAGAGCATGAAGTTGATTCGGTCCTCGGCCGATGGCCCAGTCCAAGTAGTCACCACTCACGATCCGAGGGTATCAAGTCGCAGCCGGGGTATAAGCATGGATGAGTGAGCACCGTTTGCCCCATTCATCGAAGCCTACTATTATTTGATAGCCTTCAAGTTAGCTACGATGGAAACCCATAGATGAGATGTCTCTTCACTCTAAAACTTCCGTTTTAACAGATGAGATTCGTCTTAGAAAACCAAATAAATGAAACACGAGCACAGTTCGAATAGGCGGAAGACCAGCTATCTGTACATGCAAGGCAGGGAAAAGGGCGGGTCTATTATCGTTTTTCCTTTTCCTCTCTCCCTGCCTTGAAACACCATATGCGTACACCCCAAGACAGAGGGGTTCAGTTCCCCTCTAATCACTTCGCGCTTTCTCACACACACACAAATAATAAAAGGACATAAACGGCAGACTGCCAAGGGACCAATACGACAGTCATCAGGAGAGCGGCAATAAACTTCGTTTTTCGACGTGGCGTTCCGGGTGAGGTTCGCTCATATCAGGATTCGGTTGGGTGGGACCTTGCAATCGAATCGACGTAGAACGGTGGGAAATATAGCGTCGAAAAGGAATCCGAAGAAGATCCGCTTACTTGAGCTCCCTCCAGAGCTTGGGGGCGGCACAGGCGGTAGCGCAGTGGGTGAGGTGGAAGACTAGATTATTCGTGTCAGTAGGGACCTCTGGGCTCGCGCGGGAATACCGTGGTGATCAACATACACTCCTCAACGCAGTCCTCCTTGACACCCTTGAAGTCATCACCCTCCTCCTCCTGGCGAGTGACGCGCTCAACGCACTCGTCGTAGTGGTGCTTGTATGGGGCACACTTGGCGGAGTTGGCGCAGTCTAGATGCAATTGAGTCAGTCATGTCTTCGAATGAGATGATACCAGATATATTGTGAAGAGGTTCGGCTGCCATTGAGTCTTCGCAGGTAGATGGGTTGATTCCGATGATCCGAGCGAACGAATGCGAAACACCCGCTTGCCCAGCGCGTACAAACACCAAGACTCGCCAGCATGGAAGATCAATCCTTCAATGATAATGGTATCATCGGATTGATAGAAGAATCACTCACCCTCCTCGAGCTTAGGCTTGATGTCCTCAGGCTCATCCTCCTCCTCTTCCTCCTCCTCCTCTTCTTCCTCTTCCTCCTCGGCGGCCTCCTCCTCTTCGGGAGCCTCCTCAGAAGACTCCTCGGCGGGGGTCTCCTCAGCGGTCTCCTCAGCGGTCTCCTCGGCGGACTCGGAATCTTCGGTGGCCTCCTCGGTCTTCTCGGCGGGCTCGTCCTGGGGGGTGGAGGAGGTCTCAACGTCGGCGGCGGGAGCCTCAGCCTGGGCCTCGGCGAAGCCCAGAGAGGAGACGACGTCAGTGAAAAAGTCGGTGAAACCCATTGCGACAGTCAATTGGCAACAGTGACCGGAGGTCGTGGAGTAGTGGGGGGGATATAGGGTTGTAGGTAGGGGTTGCGGTTAAGTCGAGGATGTGGTTTTCCAAGCTCGGGCTGGAAAATCGGGACGCCCCGGCCGCTGCGAATTATGCCGCACGTGATTGGCTAACGACTGTTGCTGACCACGCCCATCGGACCTGGTGGTATCGAGGGTTTATTTACAATGACTTGATCAAGGTATTGGTGTTCAAAAGTGCTTCTACTTTATGATTTGTTACGAGCCAAAGTTGTATTTTCTTGGTCAAGTATCATCAATTCATAGTAAAGGAGGAAAACCGGTGCACGCCAATGCTCGCTCTCTAGTACGGGCTACCGCTTTGGAATCATTATTCGACAAATCATAGTATACAGACGAAAGATCCGGGTCATGAGATGAGTCTTCTTTCTTAGGAAACCCCTCAACTCGCCCGGCGCAGCCGTTCCTCCAGTTCAGTAGCCACACTTTGGCTCTGGACCTCCTCGTAGCAAGGTGGAGGTTCAGCGGGCTCCGGGCCCGCTTCAGATGCCCTTCGAGTTTGTTCTGGTGTCACGGGCGCCTCGCCGACAACGGTACTGTGGCTGGAATTTCCGGGGCCCTCGTAGGCAGGTAGCTCCTCGAGATGAACGGCTGACAGGTCTACACTGCGTAGACCGCGGGCAGCGTCATTCTGAACCTCAACAGCTTGCTCTAGACGCTCCTTTATTCGTTCGAAGTTGGTGTGAAAGTCAAAAGCTCCTCCTTCCTTGAAAGTCACTTTGATCTGTACAGCCGGTAGGTTGGCGGAAATACCACCGCCAGAGACGGGTTGGACGAGAGCGGTCCAGACATTGGGACCGAAGAAAGGTGCGGAGACGTGAGAGTCACGGACGTGGAGGAGTGGAGAGGAGAAGGATTGGAAGGTGTCGGACTTTTGGGATGGAAGGTAAACGAGCTAGTTCGATGACTGTCAGTAATAAGACCATTTCCAGGAGGGTATCTCTGGGCAAGCAGCGGTCAAACGAACTCGTTGGTTTGTGAGATGGATACAGCCAGCACTGCTCTGGATCGATAAGCTCTCGGGCCCCTTGTAGTTGGGAAGCGGCGTCAGTGCAAGGCTGGTGCGGGGAGGCGAGGAGTATATCAAGCGTTCGTTGGGAAGGCGGACGAAGCCTTCCTGGTCATTCAGCATCACCCAGCTACGATGTGTTAGTTAATCAAGAAGCATATTCTCATCTTGGCATCAACAGTAGACTGCCAAGGACAGGCAAGCTTTGGGAGGGGGAGGAGGTAGGGAGGGCTTACTTGATAGACATGCTGATAGCAGATAGTCCTGCGACTGTCCTGGGGTTAGGATGCTCTAGGCTAGTAGGGTTGGCAAGGTGGTGGGGGGGGGGAATCAAATCGAGAAAGAGGAGAAGCAGGTAATAGTAATCGGTGAGACCAACAAAAGGAACAAATTTTAGAATTTGCAGAGGTCTGGAACCCTCGAGAGCAACCTTAGGAACTTGATGGGCAAAAAGGGTTGCGGGGCAGGCGGGGAATCCCATGGATACTCTGCTGCAGTGGTGCTGCATGACCTCCCAACATTTAAGTTATGCACAGAGAAGTACTAGGATACTTAGGTACATATAGTAGTAGTATTATCCATGTCATCCCCCGATTTGCAGAGTTACCTTGTACCTTCAGGTAAGAATTAGGAAGACTTAGTAAATAATAGTTACCTTAATAGGCGTGGGGTGAACCACTATACGAATACGAGGACTGTTTGGGGGTTGGAATATCAAGAATGTGAATGTGATGTGAATGTAAATAACTGTCAGAAAATGAATAGAAATATACAAGGATCCTATATTGTCAACGTTGAGATGACTGATATAGTAATTACCCCATACATAACCAAGTCAACGGTTGTGGGTTCTAGAAGCGTCCGAGTGCAAAAGGAAAAGACGAAAGCGCGCTAAGCTTCCCAAACTTTCCGGATTTGAGCAACTTTTACCTCTTTCGCCCCAGTTCCTCCCACTCTACTCTCTTCTCTCTCATAGCTGCAGAGTTACTCGTTCTATCTGCTACCTGGCACGGGAATTGCTAGGAAAGGAGAGACCACTGCTCACCTGGTGTCGACGTCAAAACTTGAGGGTCCAAGCTTCACGACTATTTTATCTCCGGGAACGCCGCTCCATGTCAACTCTCTGACCCTGACCTCTTTAAACCTCTCCTCTCCTCTACGCCACCGACCGTCTTGACGGAGCCTTCTTCAACTAGCCATCCAAGGCACGGTCGAAAAATCATGGCGAAGAAGCAGGCGTATATTCCACCCCTCATCGGGTGGCTGTACGACCTGGTCCTGTGGAGTTTCTCCGTGCTCATCGACCTCTTCTTCCGCGAAGTGCATCCTCGTGGATCATGGAAGATCCCCCGCCGTGGCCCGATCATTATTGTCGCCGCCCCTCATGCGAACCAGGTATGTCATGCGTGTCCTTGTTGTTATGCCTAGTCCTTTACCCCTCAACAATGAAGCTAACCACCTTGTCTCCCCCAGTTCGTCGATTCGCTCGTGCTTATGCGCGTCATCCGGAGCGAGGCTCATCGCCGCATCTCATGGCTTATCGCAGAGAAATCATTTCGTCGCAAGTTTATCGGACTTCTCGCGCGGGGTATTGGGACGCTGCCCGTTGCGCGCGCAATGGACAACTTGAAACCCGGCACCGGTACCATATACCTCCCCGACCCTATCAACCAACCAACCCTCCTGCGCGGTGTCAACACCAACTTTGAAGGACCTGGATTCGAAACCGAAGGAACAATTGCTCTGCCAACCATCAACGGAACTTCCCACAGTACGGCGATTGCGGAAATTCATGGACCAGAGGAGTTGGTTCTCAAGAAGCCGTTCAAGCACCGCGACGCTCTATCGCAGTTGACTGGCCGTAAGGATATTGATGAGGATGGAAATTTCACCGGAGAGTCTGCCAACCAAGACCCCGAGTTTAAGGGCACCAAATTCAAGGTCGCCCCGCACGTCGACCAAACCGCGGTTTACAAGGCCGTCTTTGCTAGACTGAACGCCGGTGGTTGCGTGGGTATCTTCCCTGAGGGAGGTAGTCATGACCGTCCGTCTCTTCTGCCATTGAAGGGTAAGGCTCATTTGCATATTCCGATTCCAGAGTGGGTTAGTACTAACGTGTGTATTTAGCTGGTGTTGCACTCATGGCACTCGGCACTCTGGCAGACAATCCAGACTGTGGTCTCAAAATTGTCCCCTGTGGTATGAACTACTTCCATGCACACAAGTTTCGCTCTCGCGCCGTGATCGAGTTTGGAAACCCGATCGAGGTACCCAAGGAATTGGTAGACCAGTTCAGAGAAGGCGAGCGTCGCGAGTCTGTGGGAGCACTCCTGGATATCATCTACCAAAGCCTTGTGGCTGTTACCGTTACCAGCCCCGATTATGAGACACTCATGGTAAGATTCGACTTCACCTAACTTGAAATTCCCGCGATTACTAACAAATTATAGGTCATCCAAGCTGCCCGTCGTTTATACAACACCAAGGGCAAGAAACTTCCGCTTCCAATGGTGGTGGAGCTCAACCGTCGCCTCGTCACAGGATATGCGCATTTCAAGGACGATCCGCGTATCGTCAGCCTCAGAAAGGGTATCGTGGATTATAACAAACAGCTACGTATCTTGGGTATTCGCGACCACCAAGTCAACTATGCCAAATTTTCTATCATCCAGATCATTGCCACCCTGATCTATCGCCTGGGCAAGCTCGCCCTTCTTACCATTGGAACTCTTCCTGGCTTGGTGCTGTTTACCCCGGTTTTCATTGCTACCAAGTACTTATCGATCATCAAGTCCAAGGAGGCATTGGCTGCTTCTAGCGTCAAGCTACAAGGCCGAGATGTCATGGCTACTTGGAAACTTCTTATTGCTCTCGCTTTCGCTCCGGCCGTCTACACGGCCTACACTGCCGCTTTCACTTATTGGACCTACAAGAATCGCATCCAGGGCTTCATGCCTGACTGGGTACCCCTCTGGCTGGTTGTGGTGATAGGCGTGGTTCTTTTCCCCACGATCAGTTTTGCTGCCCTTCGCATCGGTGAAGTGGGAATGGACATTGTCAAGTCTCTTCGGCCTCTGGTCTTGTCACTCAACCCTTCGCCTGCGAACCCTTTGGTGAAGCTCCGTCAAACCCGTGCGGCGCTTGCTCAGCAAGTCACCGAAGCTATCAACACCTTGGGCCCCGAGCTATTCCCAGACTTCGACGCCGCACGTATCGTTTCCGGTCCCTTCCGTGAACCCAACCACGAAGAAGCTATTGAAGACGACGAGCCAGGTCTCAAGCGCATTCAAACAGCCGATCGAAGCGAGGGATTCTCGTCCCAGGAGCCTCTACCACGCAATGAGTCGTTCCACAACCTAGCCAACATTGGATTCTTCTCCACGAGACCTCCTAGCCGCAACCGGAGCCGTAGCAGTTCTGCTGGGCCCCGACCCGGCTCACGACATGGTCTGAAGCCTCTCAGTCCCATGACTCCCAAAGATCCTTTAGATGATGTCAGTTCACGCATTCGCGATGCCATGAGAGAGCGTGGGGAGCGCCGGCGCCGACGAAGCGAGGACGGAAGCTGGGACATGGCCAGCTCGGGATCGAGAACACCATCCAGTGGCGATGAATCACGAAAAGATCTATAATTTGCTGCTACGGAACCCAAAACTTTCTCTTGTCTTGGCGAGTGTCACGGCGGTGTTTGACCTCGGGAGGCCTGTAACCATTGGAACTATTTGAACCATTTTGCTGCGTTTATATAACCCCTCTGCGAGATATCCCAGTTGCGCTTTTGTGTCTGTTCTTGTTCACGAATACTCTAATGACAAAGAAACATGATTATAACCTTTCCTCGTAATTCCTTGTAGTTTATTGCTCAGGTGTGGTTCAACCAAAGATACACCGAGGCTAACCAACTTGAAAGTCTTGGGGGTTCAACCGCGGACCTCGCCACTCAACAGGGAATGGTGCAGCCTGGCATTGCCTCACACCATAGCCATAGCCTAAAACTTTTGCTTCTATTTCAAGTTACCTAGGTATTTTCAAGTTGTTATTATCAACTTTGCCTGTTACTATATATCTACTCTCCCATTCCTACCCCACCCGCATTCGTATCGACTCCAGGGCTAGCCTTAGTTCAATTCAACTCTGACCACGTTACCCGCTGCATCCATTCCGCTCTCGCCTTCCTTTTTTTCTTTTTTAAACCCCCCCGCGTCCCACCTAAAACTCCCGATCCTATTCAAACCTCGTTTCACATTATGACGGACTCGATACATTTGTCCCGTCTCCGCAAGTGGTTCCTCGCCTCCCCGCCCATCGAGTTCGCCATCACCAACCTCAAGGAGCTCCTGATCGGTGCGCTTCGACAAGGCCCTATCCCGCAACATGTCGCGTTCGTCATGGATGGAAACCGGCGATTCGCCCGATCACATGGAATTGAGACGGTAGAAGGTCATAATCTGGGGTTTGAAGCATTAGCAAGGGTAGGTCGTCTCTCCCGAGGCCGGAGCAAACAGGCTCGACTCGAGGACATTGCAAAGTCCAGCTTTCTCCAGTCACAAAGCTAACGGATTCCCTAGATCCTCGAGGTCTGCTACAAGAGTGGAGTGAAGGTCGTTACGATATACGCGTTCAGCATTGAGAATTTCAAGCGATCCAAGTTCGAGGTGGATGCACTCATGGATATGGCCAAGGTGAAGCTTTCACAGATGGCACAGCATGGAGATCTGCTCGATCGATACGGTGCAAAAGTGCGCGTCCTCGGCCGACTCGACCTCCTTAAACCCGACGTTCTCGCCGCCGTGAACAAGGCAGTTGACCTGACCAGCCGCAATGGGGACCGCGTGTTGAACATCTGCTTCCCCTACACCTCTCGCGACGAAATCACCTCCGCCATCCGTGAGACCGTGGAAGATTACAGCACACCTCTCAAGTCGACCAACGGAGCCGGTCGGACCCCTTTCTCCGAATCCCATATCACGCATAACATCCGGGCCCAGAACCTAGGGACGAAACCCCATGACATGAACAGCGACTCTGATTCTCTATCCGCCGAGTCTTCCACAAACGAGGACGACCCCATCCTACGAAATGATTACCCTCACCGAGTCTACGAGTCCGGCTCATCATTCTCCTCCTCCACCACACTACACCTCGGCCAGCAAGATGGGCATCCTCAGAAGGGCGCGACCCAAGGAAACACTTCCGATCCGGCGTTCATCTCCCCCGAAACAATCACACGCCAAACTCTGTCCGATCATATGTTGACCAAGGGTACTCCGCCTCTGGACATGTTAATCCGCACATCAGCCGTGGAGCGACTGAGCGACTTCATGCTCTGGCAATGCCACGAGAACACCGAGATCGTCTTCTTGAATGTCCTGTGGCCCGAGTTCGATCTCTGGCATTTCCTGCCCGTCATGCTCGGCTGGCAACGCCGCATCTCCAAGTCTCGACAGAACCCCGAGGCCGAGGGCAATTTTGCCGGAGACAGCCCAGAATCTAGCGAGGAGGATTTGGATGCCAGGGTCTTGCGTCAAGGCAAGGTGAAAGGCATCTAGAGCACTATTCATTTCTTCTCTTCTCTTCTCTTTTTTTATTATTACTTCCGACTACCCCGTTTACTCTTTTATTTTATTAGCATCCAGCGGTGTTCGTGGCGTTTGGCGACCCCGACTGATCATCCTGTTTCAATATACCAAGCATTAGCAGCATTACCTGCCATTGTCTATCTATGCATATCATTATACATCACAGATTATCCATAACTGCATGACAATAGACTGCCTGTTCGCCCGTGGCTCGGGACTTTCCAAGCTTATAGCTCGAGTAGACTACTCTCGTATGTACTGCTAGTATGGCTGAACAGCTGCCTGCAGTACTCTTAAGAACTGCCAGTGGCACCTTCAAGCTGTCTAGATTGAATGTATACCCACTTCAGGGCTAGTATTCTAAATATTCGACTTGAACAAAACTCATTCTCATCAGGATCTTCTTTCTTGAATTCATTATCATGAAAATCACTTTCCTCTATCGTATCATCATTGCATTACCCCGGTCCAAGTCCACACCAGTGCAAGCGGACCGGAGCTCGAAGAAAAAAAAATAAAGAGCAAACCACCAAAAATCTAAAATAAGAAAACAATAGAGTCCAAGGGCAGAAGCAGATGGAAACGCACAGGATAGACACCGTCAGGATGAATGGCAGTCTAACCAGGCAAATCACCACATAGCACACGCATAGCTCTCATCGCTCTGAACGAAAGAAAGCAAAAATGCGGGGACTATAATCAAAGATCGAGAACAGGGATGGTATGACTCGATATCGAACTTTTTCTTGCCATGGACGTTTGTTGATGTTGTGTATTCTTGCTTTTGCGTCGCAAGGGGGAAAAAGACGTGACATGCAAATGGGGGGAGGGGGCATTGTCCACATCATGCCGTTGGGAGGAGATCACGGAGGCGATCAGAGAATAGTGCCAAACCTAAACCAACAAGGAAAAGGGAAATAGTCAGTAACGGGTATCGAAGCAACGAAGATGATGATGAAGAGGGTGAAGGCTTGGATCTATAGAAGAGCGAAAAAAACCCGCGCATTGGTCAAATGCCAGGTTCGAAAAAAGAAGTGAAGAAAAGCAGACACGCGTGCTGGGAAAGGGATATTATGGAGATACATACCCGAAGGTCTGTTTGATGCTGCGCACGTAGTACAGCTCCCAATTCTGCTTGGTGACATCCTCCTGGCCGACAGGGACGCCGGACCAGGAGACGCGCAGCTGGGTGACGCCGTCGACGTCGTTCTGGTCGAGGTTGATCTCGAGGGTACTGTAGTGGTCGGCAGGCCACTGAGCAAGGCGCCATGTCTGAATAATCTGCTTGGGGGCATCAAGCTTGACGAACTCGCCGGAGACATTGCCATCGAAGATAGCGAACTTGCCACCGACCTTGGCGCCGTCCCACTGACGGGGAGCTCCGCGAGTGAAAGCAGCGATACGCTGGGGGTCTGTGAAGGTGTTGTAGAGTTCCTCGGCGGTGGTGCGCATCTCATCTGAGGCGGTCACGGTGGTGGTGTTGACGGCGACCTTGCCGGTGGTCGAGGTGGTGGTGGTCGCGGCCGGGGCATCCTCCTTCTTGTTGGCCTGGGGGTGAATAGAGGCTTTGGGGAAACCGGCAGACGGGTTGACGCCAGGAGCGTGCTGGAGGTCCTTGGCGTGCTCGGTAACCAGAGCATTGGTGAGCTGGGCCAGGGTTTGGCGGAGCTGAGGCAGGATCTTCGACCGGACGAGGTCCTTTACGGGCTGCTTGGAAGAGGCATCTGCGTGGTTTTCGATCTCGAACTGAACAAGACAAAGCCGTTTATTAGCTTGGGGAAACTTCCGTGGCTCTGGCCCTGGCGTGCCAGAAGATTCAGGGGTTCTAGGTAACGTACGACGTACTCATCCTCCTCGGTGTCGTGGGCTACCTCGGGAATGCTGATGGAGCCGGTGACATCCTCCTCGTCCTTGGTCTTACCTATTGAACAGTCTCAGCTGCCAGTTCCCTCGAGGTTGGAAAGGTTGCAATCTACAAACCTGAATACTCTAGCGACAGCTTGACATCATACAGGGTGATGACCTTTCCCTTGCGCTGGCTGACGTCTACGTCGCCATCCATGGAGGTCACCTTCTCTACTTTGGCGGACACACCACCGTCCTCAGCGCTGAGCACGGTGAGGTTTTGGTCAAGCCAAGCGCGAGCCCAGGGTGCGGCATCCTTGTTCACCCAGTGCCAGTTGTTGGGGTTGTGAAGAACCATGATGAATGTTGACTATGGAAGAAAATCTCTGAAAGGGATGATTGTGATTCGGGAGGGCCGAAAGAATTCTTGCTCCAGCGAATCTCGCCTTGTTTTTGTTTTTGAAAAGTGAAAAGAGCGGGGTTCCTCTTGTTTCCTGTTTTTAATCCCAAGCGAAAGTTCTGACTGGTTTCAAGTTAGCGAAAAAGTTCTCGCAGAGCTTGTGTGGCGGGGTGAAGAAAGCGAAGAAATCAATTGCGTAGAGCAAAGCCACAAAATTCAGGTCCTGGAGCGTATATTTCCGGACGAAAAGCTTTATCAGCAGCGCGAATGGATAAATCCATCCACCTCTGACTGGTGCCAGCTGTAGTCTCATCATTTGGGCGGGTGGGTGTGCCTTTGGCACCCAGGTGGGTGAAAAGACACAATGGGGAACGGTGCAGTGTGTTGAGGGCAATTGAAACAAACAAGAAAGACTTACAATTCAGACGAGTATCCCCAGTGAGCCGAGGATCAGCGATTGTGTGTAGAAAGGAAGAGTGTCAAGAGAAGAAGAAAGAGAAGGATATTTGAGAGCGGAAGACGGAAGCTTCTAGAGAGCGCACGTGACCTCGGTGGATCCCACATGCGCCAAGCTAGTCCAAGTATGCAGAACTACAATTTACGTACTACAACTAGTATACGTCACTGCATAATCGGAAATCGAATGGTTCAGTCAATATTTACTATATATAAAAGCCCGGTTTACAGCGAACGAATGGGGATATCATAAAAGCACAATGTCATCACAAAGCTTCAAAGCAAAAACCTCCTCCTGGCCACTTTATTCTTGTTCCAGTCGCTCCAGATCTTCCCACCCATCTTCACCAAGTAGCTGTCCCTTCACTCGCTCTCGCAGCTCTTGAATTTGACTACCGAGAGCCTCTGTCCATTGTCCCTCGACAGTGGCAACTTTGTCTTTCAGGTCAGAGGTGAGATTAAGTTCCTCGTCAGCACGACTTTGCTGCATGCACCGACGCACACTTTCTTCAGGCTCGCCTTGCCATATCCGCTCCGCCTCGGCAAGATTCCTATTCGCCCGCATCATGGCTGACCGCACTTCATGCAAGAGACAAAGGAGGTTGATTTGTGACTCGATGTACTGATAGCTCGATTTCTCGGCATGTGACAGCAAGGTATAGAGGTACTGCAGCGGGTGGGAGTGGTAGCTCGGATTCTCCTCATACTCATTGGAAGGAATCTGCACTTGGAAGCCATGGAGATTTTCGGGGATTTGCTGCACCATGACTAACAGTGATGGAGCGATATCCCAGAATGCTGAAAGCTGGATCTCCACTCCACGAACAACATTTTGTTCGATGACGTCCAGGAATGATCCGAGGCGAGTGAGTGCCGATGTCTCATACTGCACGCGTCGATCCATCGTATCCTTCGAGAAGAACGCTTGTGTTTCCCAGAGCTTTTCGTTGTTCTTGCTCTGCTGGTACGGCAGTAGAGCAAGGGCTTTGTACTTGTCATCGCGGCCGCTAACTAGGTCAAAAGCTTCTCGGTGAAGTTGCTCCCGTGCTTCGAACAACCATTTCAGCTGGGTCAGCTTCTCTAGAAGTTCAGGTTTCTCATCTCCTTCTTCCTGGGTCTGATCCGGGGTCTCATTTCGCGCGTCGTCGAATAACCTGCTACTCAGCTCGTCGATACAAGCGGTCGCTTTATCAATCCGATCCGTAAGTATGACGTGCATTGGCTTCAGAACAATGTCCTGGTACGCGTCGAGTTGACGTTTGGCCAAACTCCTTTCGAGCCTATTCTCCTCGTCCAACATGGCTGCTTCAGCCTCCGCAGCCTCCGCAAAAGTGAGGCTCCCTTCCTGGATCTGGCTTTGGATATTGGCCTTGAATTGGCGACGAGCTGCTTTTGACTGCTCTTGCTGCTCTTGTGACATTCTTTCAACATCCTCCTGGTATCGTTGTCTGGTAGACTTGATTTCCGAAAGGTCGGTGATTGAACGAACAATTGTCCTGTAGGACACAAGGTCCGGGTGGCTATTGTTCACTGCGGGATAATGGCGTGGGTATGGGGGTGGCAGGGTGATCAAACGTGAGATATCCAGCTTTCGACTCGCTTGGAACTGCGCGTACGGGTTTCCATTCCCGTTGGTTGTTGAATAAGGAGACATTTCATCGTGCAAGCCAACCTTTTCCGGCGGATACTCATCAGGTCCGTAAGCCGCAAACTCGCCGGTATAATGCGCGTCTGCATCGTCAAGTTTCGAGGGTGTCTTCTCCGAGTCCCACGGCACGCCGTCTCGAGGCAATCCCATATACTTTGATTCTCGTTTTGAGCGCTGTACTCGCCTACCAGCTTCGTCGCTGCTGGAACCTGTTTTTGACTCCCACCAGCGACTTGGTGCGCGGCCTCGAGAACTCTGTTCGTCATTGCTCATGCCGAGACTGGCAATTGGCGATAGACAAGGCTGGTAGTTATTCCACCAAGCAGAATCAGGCCGACTCGTTCGGTTTTGAGGTATCTCCAGGGTTGGAGCTGGTCTCACTGGCTTTGCCTTTTGGTTAGGTTGTATCACAAAGAGCTTGCTAGGGACATCCTCCACGATAGCCGGGTTTGACTCCCAGACAGCAGCATATCGAGTACGGCGTATCTGGGACTCATTGATCATGAAATCTGTAAAAATCTTAAGAGCCTCGGTTTCATTCACGGCAGCTGCCTCTCTCTCGATAAAATCCCTGTGTCGTTGTGTAGCGTCCTGTGTAAAATCGGTATCTTGCTTCATGATCGATTCCAGCGATTGCTGTTGTACCGCCTGCTGTCCTGGAATCCGGCGTGGGGACAATGGTTTCATACTCGAAATTGTTTCGTTGGGGATGTGCAAGATGTGAGAGACAGGGCGTTCTTCCGGTCCCTTAGACAGAGCACGGGGGCGTGATTTAAGATCATTCGCAGAATTCAAAGGCGGGGTGGGCAGTGACTTTGGCGGGACTGCCCGTGGAGCTTCTCTTGAATATGATGAGGAAGATTCGCCCTTTGGTGAAAATGGTGGTGTTTGCGCAAACGATGCGGATGGCACAACAGGGCTTGAATCCCACTTGGGTGTTGTATACGAGGATTGTCCATCGGAGAAGAGGCCGCCGGAAGATGCGCGGGATCGAGATCCAGTACGTCCATCTGAGCCCATGCTGCGACTACTTTGTGGAGTCGCTCTGGAAGATGCAGGCTGACGCATATGCTCCGGGCTGGTCGTCTCTTGGTCTGGAAAGACCAGATTCGATGGTTTTATTTGCTCCAAGGAATCTGCCCAGGGATTTGCACTGCTAGAGACGGCACTGCGGATGTCTTCAACATTTTGACTCTGTTGGTTGCGGCGCTCGATTCTTCTCTCTCGGATTCCCTTGGCGCTAGGGTCTCGGATTGCAGAGCTGCGGAAGAGGCCACTTCCTCCACTTCCTGGTGTTCTTTGAGATTGTGATGGGTCATTTGAATTAGGATCATGCACTGGATCTTGATGCGCTCGAGCCTTAGTGGTATCGATAGAGAGAACCTCTGTCTCGGCAGTCGGGCGATGGTTTATGTATTCTTCATCTACCCAGTCGGCCGGGGTGGGTGGGATACTACCAAGACCAGTACCGAATCCCGGCGCTCGGGGTCGATTCCGACTTGGTCCATGAACGGTTCGTGCAGAAGATGACTCGGACGATCCGCTCACACTGACTGATTTTGCGGGTGGTGGTCCTGGAGGTGGTGGTGGGAGTGGCATCCCAGGTCCCCAGCCACTGTTCGAGGGAGAGGGATTCCTCGTCTGACTGATTGCCCGCGAAGCCCCTGCACTACTTACAACAGCCCCAGCCGATGCGGCTCGCCTGGATGCAGGCGGTCTTTCAGGTGCTCCCAGTTGACCAAATGAGGCTCCATTTGTGTTTTCTCCTAAGGAAGGCGATGAAAAGGGTTGCTCGTAGTTGGATGATGATACCCTGGGTCTATGCTGCGCCCCAGCTGAGTTGTAAGGCGCTGCCTGATATACATCGACGCGACTTTGCGAAACAGATCTCGATGCTGGGTGACCTTGTGGTGGAGGCGGCGGCGGAGGTAATGATTGTCGAGAAGGTCCAGTTTCATTTCCATACGCCATGGAAACAGGACGTTGACGCTGCAATGAGCGCCGCTGATGTTGGTAGTCGGCCGGACCTTCAAATTCATTTTCTCTCGCAAAGCTCTGGGGTGGCGATGGGGCCGAAGTCACGGCGATATTCGGGTTCGGCGATCCATATGCGTCTGGCGACCCTCGATTTGGGTTGTTTGGAGGGGAGTATGGTGGGGGAGGTGATGACAGAGACTCATCTACATCGGCTGTTAGCCAAGAAACCTCCATTGCTCAGGGCCAACAAAAAGGGATACGAACCTGCGTACGTCCTCTGCTGTGGTGCGACTCGAGGTGCATTACTAGACTGGTGGTAGGGGGCTTGAGCAGGGGCACCCCCCATGGGACCCCAGTCCTGTGGGTTATAAGGAACACTGTAGCTCGCGGCCTGTCTGGATGCCATTGAGGATGAAGACGACGCAGATCTTCCGTTTGCTGGGGAGGCAACATAGGGAGAGTGGCTTTGTATAAATGGGCTCGACAGCGATGTCGTTGACAAAGGTGTATTCACAGCGTGAAACTGAGGGCCACCTAATGATGTCGTCAAGAGAGGAGGCTGGACTGCAAATTCTCGACGTCCGGGTGAAGGTTGATTGCTAGTCGTCGACGACGACCAGCCGGCATACTGAGGATTCATCGGTTGTTCGTTTGCCGCATAGTTAGAAGTTGTCCAGCTAGAGGAGCGTGAATCAGTGTCGTGCAAATATCTCGCGCGTTGGATAGGAGACTGGATAACGAGAGCCAAGAAAGCCAAGCGTACCTATTCATCGTGGCGTGTCTATCAATCAAGACAGAGCGCGGATCAAGGCCATGGTTTCCTCGTGTTGGGCTGAGAGATGGAAGGTGCTCGATGGCGACAGGAGCAGGACAACTC